TATGAACGTCTGATGGAAACCTTTCATCGCCTCCTCGGCCGCCTGGAGCTTCGTCTTCCTGCTGCCTCAGAGCTGCTGTTTCAGCTGCTGGGAGGAGGTCGGGGTGGAGGGAGGGTCCACTGGTGTCAGACAGTCCACAGTTCTGACTGGTTCTGGTCCACAACAGTCCGACTGCAGCAGAACATCTGCTACTAAAACCCAAAGCACCTCAGTTTCCTGTTCATAGTCTAAACCTAATGCTCTAACCAAACCATAAACTAACCCAAACAGAACCTAATCCGAATGTTAAACTTAACCTAACGTTAATCTAACCTCCCCTAAACTGAATCTAATCTAATCTTAACCTAATCTTAACCTAATGTTTACACCAACATGAACCTCACCTTAGACTAACTTTAACCCGTCTTAAACTGAAGCTAACTTAAACTAACCTCTTCACCAAACCTAAGTTTAACTGAACCTGAACTTAGCTTTACACAAACCTGGTTCTAACCTCCCTTTACCCTGACATTAACCTGACCTAATCCTAACCTGCCTGCAGGCTCGTTCCAGTTGAACCTCACCTGGAAGGTGGTCAGCTCAGGTGGCAGCAGGGGGCGGAGCTAAAAGCTTCCAGCAGCTTCAGTCTGGACTCACAGAAACAAAGTGATTCACTGAAACGTTCTTTGTCTGATAGTTTTAATTCCAGAACCAGCCTCCATGATTCTCTGATCTGTTTGTTTTACATGAATTCTGCTGTTAACCAGCATCAGAGCAAAGCTGTGGAGCTCCAGAGACCCAGAACTCTGATGAACAGTCGGACACAGAGCAGCTTCAATTCAGACGACGTTGTTCATCGGTTTGTGACGAACATCAACCAGCAACACAGACTGAAGTCCACTCTGATCAGAGGTCTCTATCGGGTCGGTGGGCTGTACCGGAGAGCTGCAGCTCTGACTGAAGGTTCATTATGAAACCTAAATGTAACGTTAATCTAACCTTCACCTGATGCTAACATGCTACAGATTCAAACACGTGGTTCAGTTATTAAACTACAAATGATTGAGTCACTGACAGAAAGAACTACAACAGTCACATGATGTGCTTGGAGTCGTCTGATTGGCTGGTCTGTGTTAGTAATAACAGGTGTGGTGCCGCCTCCTGCTGGAGGAGTCGGATCAGTGCGGCTCAGTTCATCAGCTGCTGTGGATGGAGGATGAAGGGATGAGTCAGATGAATACATGAATGAAAGAATGAATGAAGGATAAATAGACGAATGGGGGGATGACTCTTCGAGGCACCATCAACGCTCTTCTCTCTGCCTGTTCTCTACATTTTCACCATCACGTTTGTATACGGCGAATCCTGAAGCTCCTCCCTCTGCTCCTCCTCTGGCTCCGCCCCCTGCTCCTGCTCTTCTTCGCTGGTGCTTTGCACGGCAGAAAACGCCCTCTGGGGCCGTTTAGGCACGGCGTAGTCATCGACTCGGGGGTTGTAGGGATACTCGTGACCTTTAGGGTCAGCGGGGGTTCCCATGATCCTCCAGGCGTCGCCCCTCATCTCCTCGGGGTCGTCGTACACCGAGCCGGGTTGGATCTGTCCGCCGCCGGCGGCGCAGCCTTCGGGCTCGTCGTAGATGTGCTCCACCTTCACGGCCTCGAACACGTTTCTGATCTTCATCTCGTCGATGCTGTCATAGAGTGGGTCAGCGCCGGACTCTCTGCCGCCGGGAGGCTGCTGGTCCAGCAGGTCGGCCATGACGGAGCTGGCGATGGTGTCGAAGGGCAGCGAGTACTCGGGCTCCTTGGTGAGCAGCGGCGGCGTGCAGGGCGGAGCCACGCTGCCGCTTCGCTTCTCCCGCCGGCTCTGACGCTCAGCCGACAGCGTGATCCGAGAGTAGGTCTGGTCCTGGTTGGGGGCGGGGCCAGGTTTGGGGGCGGAGCCCGACTCGTGCGGCAGCGGGCAGCTGGAGATCATCTTCACCTGGTTCTTTCGAGGGGCGGCGGCGCCACGAGTGTCCAGAGTCAGACTCTTGACGCCGGTCAGAGCTTTGTCGACTGGAGGCTCCAGACGAGACTGAAAAACAGAAACCGATCGATTATTGATCCGTCATCACCTCCCCAGTCAGACCATCAATAGTTATTGATGCATTCATGCAGCTTTGATTCTTTAATGTGATCGTTTGTCACACTTGACTTTATGTAGAATTGATAATGTTTCTGTGGCTGGAGGCCTCGACGGCTGGGTTTCCCTCAACAAACGAATCTTTATCAGTTCATTTAATGAATGTAGTTACATGAATGTGATTCGTATTTATTGATAATATTTTATAGATTTCCGTCCTTATTTTAGGCGACTGTTTCCGTCTAAGGTGCTATTTAATGCTGGTGTCCTACCAGCGGGGGGCGCTGTGGCTGCTGCTGCTGAGCTGCAGCGCCGCCGCTCTCTTTGTCTTTGTGATGAACCGTGTGGAGGTTCGGAGGTTCGGTCACCAAACTGTAAACGCCGCCAGCTGCCTGCAAACAGGAAACCAAACAGACGCAGAATCATTCTTCATGGTCTGGACTGTTCACTGAGAACGTTTGTGTTCTTCTGCTTTTGGTCCTGGTTGTGTT